TAAAAATGATCTTTACGATGGAGTCCCCCTTTCATGAAGTGAAGTCGGTTTTGCCCTGAGCTGTGTGTGTGAGCACCTGTGCGTGAACACTCAGTACAGCAGATGGTGGGGAGGAAGGGATTCCCATGGAGTTGTAGAAGTCAGGGAAGATTCAGGCACGGAGCTCATCTTTGGAAGGTAGAAGTTACGGAAGCTCCCTACCCACCCACGCAGACAGACTCCCCTTTTCCTTCTTCTTAGCCCTGGCAGCTGCCCTGTTAGCAGTAGCACAGACTGCTACGATGTGAGCAGGGATTGCCAGGTGCTGGATCTATTTGCAAAATTGGAATAAAGTCCCAAAACCCATAACAGAAAGGTGGGCAGTGCAGTCAGAACTAATGCTCTTCACCTCGGCACATAAAGAAAGAGCAGCAGCATACTGGGCGTCAGGACAGATGAAGTCCCAGTGCTGACTCTGTGACTTAAAATCTGCGATCTTGGGAAGTTTCATTCAACTCCATTTATTTATTGAGCATCGGCATCGAGTGAGCACCTTCTCGATGCTGGGATACAGTTATGAACAAGACACCTGGGTCCTCAAGATGCTCACAACCTTGCCCGGGAGAAGGATACTGAAATGAGTAATACAGTAAAGCCTTGGAAGCGCAGGAGAAGCCTGGAGGAGAGTTTTCAGTCCTGTCCAGGTGCCACTGGGCCTGAACAGCCTGCGGGGCGGGGAGGGGGGCGCTTGCGGGTGAGTAGGCTGTACTGAGCAGATGAGGGAGGAAGGCCTTTCAAGGTCAACCCCTTCTCCTGAATTCTCCCCTCCTCCTTGTTTAAGTGAAGCGCTAAGACTTGAGTCCAGGTCATTGAACCCAATTCCTGAAACTACCGAGAGCTGTGGCAGTCCCTCCCCGCCACGTGGTGCATCTCGGGTGACCCAGCATCTGAACTGCCTTGGTTTCTCTCAAGACTCAGTCTCTTTCATCTGTGTACCTGCGCCAGCTGGGCTTCATCTCGGCGTTCCTGCTTGTTTGAAATGAGGCCAAGCTGTGCGGGCATTGGGGGTCATTTATTTTCTTGATGGGTGCAGTATATTTTCTGCACTTGCTTTCACTGCTGTAGTTCCTACTCATAGCAGTGTCTTTGTTTTATTTTTGCTAACTCTCTGTTTTTGCCTATCCAGAAAATAGGGAAACCAAATGTTTGATTTTTTCCCCCAAGTCATAAATCTGATCCTATTAATCCTCTGCTCAGAAACCTGCAGTGTGGTTGGTGCCTACAGAATCTAAAGGGATTTCCCCTCCAGAATCCTAGAAGGATGACCCCAGCCCAGTCTCCCTTTCGTGCTCTGCAATCCAGCTTTTCTAGACTCTTCTCCCCAGTGAGCGTCTTTGCATTCTTTCCTCCGTGCCTTTGCTTCTGCTGTCCACTCTGCCTGGAAATTCCTCTCCCAGCCCAGTCTCCTCTTCTTCCTGTTCACGACCCACTCATCTTCATGAAGACTTCCTTGATCTCCCCACCTTCCAAACCAGAAAGATGACCTCTTTTCTCTCAGCCTCAAAGTCTAGGCGAAATTTCTGTCAGTCAGAATTCTGTATCTTGCTAAACTTTCAAACAAAAGAGGGTAATAGAAATTTGCAGATCAGTGAAGCCTGAATGAGTTTGCCACCCACAGACCCTCTTGGAATGAAGACATAGATTCCCACTTGCACATTCAGGGACCTAGGTTGCTAGCTTGAGATCAGCCAAGGTGAGTGTAGTTACGCCATACACTCAGCAAATGCTCCAAATAGGACTTTTTTCTTCTCTTGAAGAGCCAGCTCATCTGAAGGTGAATTGGTGACCCTACTGCATGTATATATACATGTATGTGTGTATGTGACCATGCACACACGTGTGTACACATCAATACTTGACACACGCTATATGATAGACAGTTAAAACGGCGCTGTCGACCAGTAGTGCTTCCTCCCTGGGCCGCGGGGCAGAGCTGTGTGGTCGGAGTGGCTGGGAGTCGTCTGCCTCCTCACACTCTCATCCCATCCTCCTCTCCAGAGCTGGAATTCTGTTACCTATGCCCCCACCTCCTTCTTGCGTCTATGTCCTTGGCAAACGTGATCACTTCCTGGAATCGGAGCTAATATACTAATTGAGGATCTGTGTGTCTGCAGTTGCTACAAATCCACTCTTTGAAGTAGAGAATCTTGGCTTGGCTACACAGACATCAGTAAGGGGTCTCCTGTTTCTGATCATGATTCTGTTCATGATTCTTCTCCAAATGGGTGGGACGCAGGCAGTTAAGCCTCCTGGGTCAGAAGGAGAGCTCTGCAGACTGCAGCTGCGGTGACCATACCTGCTGCTGGTCATGCTGTGGGCCATCTTGCAGAGCCCACCAGGTGGGCGTCCGGTTCTGTTGGGATGGCTGACCTCTCTTGGACACAGAAGGCGAGGTCTGATGGCTGGGAGCACAGACCAAGAAGGAGAAGGCTGGCCAAGAGGCGAGGAGGGAAGTGTAGGTCAGGACGAGAGGAGCTGGGAAGCCGAGGCCCCTAAGCTACCAGGGAGACAGCACAGGGAGGGGGGGCTGCAAGGGGGTGGGTGCAGGAGGGAGAGGCCAGGGGTCTGGGAGAAAGCTCACCGGCCTTGCAGCTTGTCTCCTGGACTCTGCCTAGGGTGGCAGCTTCCTGCTGACTAGATCAGGCAGAGGTTAAAATCCTGGACACAGGCAGGGATCTCCTGTGGCTGTAGGAGAGAGCTGTAGGGTCTTTCCTGTCTTTCAGCACATAAAGGGTGTTCTAGAGTGAAGGTT